CTTCTGATGCAGCTTTGCCACAACATCTCGATCTGCAATCTGGAGCCCAGTGCAGAGGTACTAGCACACTTCTGCACAGTCCAGTTCCTGGGCAGTAGGGACTTTCCCCTTACTCTACATGCCTTGGGTGTCTCAGACTGCATTGCCTAGGGCCTCTGGTCCCTGGGGCCTTCACATGGCAAAGGTTGTGTTCCAATTATACATAGCCAGTGTGGGTCAGGCACTGAACCTCAGCTGAACTCTACTAGAAACCCAGAGTACTTGTAAGAAATATGCAGATGTACTTAAACAGTTTTGCAAGAAATTTCCCTAGAAGAGGGAGTTTAAGTGAGAGCTGAGTCAGTCTTGAGTTGTTTGTGGAGGCATCTCTGCTATGCTTCCTGGAACATCCAGTATTAGCTGTATTTATTTGGCCTTATTTGTTTGTTTCTTTGAATTATGACAAATTTTAAAAGAAATTTGTATTCTTTTGGTTGACCAGCTTTCTTGATAGTTTGTGGTGTAATTAAGACACATCGATTTTAATTTCTGGAGAGGTGAGGCTGATGTTGGGCTTCTTTTAATAAATGAGTGCTTTGCTATACTTGTAAAAATTAAGCTTATTATGATTACCCCTGCTGTATGTACCACATAACCCTATAACTTAATACTCACCAGCATACCAACTGTATAGCTTGGTGTGAAGCATTTCACAGAGAAGGCTGAACATGCTGACACCAGAGGGAAGACACACTGTGCTCATGAGTGGAGGGAACTTGCAGGCTATTAATGCACAGCAATAATGTGTGGAGGTACTGTACAAGGCGTGCATGGGTCAGAGAGTGGCAAGGATGAAGGCGTGCACCCATTCTATGTGTTTGAGCTGTGTGGTGACCAACACCCTCCTCCCCACCTCCCCACCTCCCCAGTCCCTTCTGCTGTGAGCAGGACAACAGTCTCCTGTGACTCCTGGTACGTGTTATGCGCAGCAAAACATGACTCTTGTAAGTAAATAAGATTTTATCAGGTATGCATCCAGTATCAGCTTTTCCTCCAAAGTGGAAAACCTTGTAGGATTCTGGTTTAGTTTTATTTTTATTTTCTGCCTCGAACTGATCGTTAACAGGACGTGATTACCATAGTAATGAAACTACCTTTCTTTATTTTAAACTTAGGAGGTATTTAATCCTTGAGGGCAGTGTAGTAGGACTATCATCACCCAGGCTAAGTAAATAGTATTAAGCCACATAGTATGCGTATGTTACTTGAAAATATAGGAAGTTTTATGCATATTAGTTACTGTGCTAATAACACTAGGAGCCTTTTCTGGTTGATTTTTTATGTCTTTGAATGCGTAATTATTTTTATACAATATTTAATAATAAAAATATGACACAACTACTTAATCGTAGGAATACTTACAGCTGAGGTTGATGCTGCATGCTTATTCTAGTCATAGGTACCTAAATATCACAGTACATTTAATATACAATGTCATATACATACTGATGTGAGCATAATGTACTGCTAGTAGCTCAGCAGAATAGAAACTTTGTACTGATGAAATGTCAGTCTTAATTTTTTATTACCTTAGCTGTGGGCATTTTATGTCAAAACCAGATCTGACCAAATACTGAAACATGCTATGCAACGAAAATGCTTTCATTTATTTAATGTCTTGCAAATGTACAAGTGGTATTTTGCCATAGTCTTTCAGAGATGTTAGTGGCTATGAAAACCGGAAGAGGTTTCATCAGATTTAACACCTTCAGGGACTGGCTAAAAATAAGTCAGAAAATGAATCAGTAATTAAACTAGTTACATTAGAAAAGGAATCTTAAATTTTGTGCTAAGCAAAGGGAGAAATGAAACTCACCATGCAGGGTCTTTGTTCAAATGTTTAGTGTATCTTAAATACCTGTTGAAATTGTGGTTCTACTGAAGAGCTAAACCATCCATGGGTTGAAATTTTTCATAAAATATTGTTTAGAACTTTATGGCTCTTCATAGAGTTTCATGGCTGAAAAAAGGGGAACTGAGCTCAAGGAAAATTGCTTGCAAGGAATACTGTGTGCCTTAACCACATCTACTCATAATAATTGAGGGATGTGTTCTTTCTTTGGTAGAAATAAACAGTACAGTTCTCCAGTTTAGTTGGAGTGATCAGGGCATTGTGAGGGTGGAGGGAGGTCACCGTGCTGCCCCACCTGGCTTCAGGTCTGGGTGACTGGAAGCCACAAAATGCATCTGAGTAGGGCCCATCTGCCTGCAGAGTGCCTCAGCAGGGCCAGGCGGGAGGGTGGCTGTTGTGGTGGGCACCTTGTGAGCCTCAGCTTCCTGCAATGCTAACATCTAAGCCATCACCTGTCTTGGCTGAAGCTGAGTTTTTGTGTTGTTTGTAAGCCAGAACAAACTTCTGAGAGGGTGATTTTCTTGGGCTTCCCTTTCACACATCTCCTTTTATTTTTCATGCCTCATATAAGAGGTTTTTAATTTTTGGCACACTGTCTTCTCAGGGCATTCTGAAACTGTATTACTTACTACAGGTGGACCCAGATTACTGGGGTAAAAAGCCAGAAGCATAAAATTACTTGAAAGTTGTAAACTGTGTTTTAAAACCCACTGAAAGAAGAGTGTGGTTGATGCGTGTGATATTTGCTATGGGAATGGCAACCAAAACATTATTAATGGCTTTGTTCTGTCTTTTTAGTTATCAATGGTGATTTTTAAACCATTAAAAGTTCAGGTTGCTGTATATACAAAAAGAAATTATGTGATTTCAAATTATAATTGGAGATGTGGTTGTAGAATAACAAATGAGAATAATTAATAGAAAGTTAATTGGGTAACATAAGAAAAGTTTATCCTGGTATATTGGGATTGCATGCTTAAGTTGATACTTAGTGTACTTTTGGGATTTCTGGTTGCACCTCACCTCTGGTTCTGATAGTATATTGTATTATGAAGAATATTAATAATGTTGCAGAACAATTACTGGTTCATTTGCTAACTGATTAAAATTCATGCATAATTTATTTGAACTGGAAGAGACTTTATAAATAAGTCTCCTTGGCCTCAAGAGCTTAAAAACAAAATGTGTATGCTAATATAAGAATGTGCTTTACTTCTTAACATAAAAACTTAATAGGCAATGGTATATTAGTCTCATTAATGTGAGGTTTTATTTGTGATAATTGTGCTCTTAATCAAAGTGTATACTTCTAAACATAGCCATATGTTTTAGAAGTTTTATAACTTGGAGTCGGTAATGCATCATGCTCATCAACGATTATGGTTTTTTTCTGTAATATATACTGACCTTAGAATACATTAGTTTGACATTTAATATATTAGTTCCACAGCAAATAAACCACCCTCATTAAGCCCAGCTGCATTTATGAGCTTTGATGCAGGTAGGGATCTAAATAAATTCATATGCACATTTCTTGCCAAAACAAGATAAAATGTTAATAATTAATTGAGATATTTTCTACAGCTTTGTATATCCTAAACCATTAATGGAAACACCTTGGAGCATTCAGCTTTTCAGTCCAGGAGGAGAAAATCAGCTCCCATTACAGCTGCTATGGCATGGCCACAGATTCCTTGGTCTCCAAACAGAGCGTTTTGAGACGCAGCTAATTTAGAAAAAAGTCTGCAAGAAATCCTTTTTCGCCAAAATGTGGGAAACTTGGTTGCTTATATAGCAAATATAAATACACTGTTCAGAGCAAGCTCTGGCATCTGGAAGGAAACTTTACTGTTGGATATAGAGAATAAGGCAGAACCAGAGAGTCGTTAGCTGAACTTCACCAGGCAGTGCAGATGGGATGTCAAAGGAGGTTCACCACCCCCCACCATGAACTCTGTCATTGACACTAGTGGGATCATTCCTAGCAGGCAGAATATGTACAGTTCTTCTGTGTCTCAGTTTCTGTTGTGGAGAGGGTGGGGGGGATGGTGATGAGAAGGGTTCCCCTCTAAGGAAATCTTATGGTCTGGGGCTAAATGTTATTTTTAATGTACTGGCCATGAGATCCCCTCTAACTGATCAGAGATTCTGCACTGTTAGTTCTGCATCACTGCTGTGTGAAACCCCTGTGTGCACTGAATTTAGCATTGTTGCCTAATTAACTGAAACAAATTAGTTGAAATATGAGCCATCTGGAATGAAAATGAACCTTCCATCTTTATCAGTGGATTCATTTTATTAGAAAAGTACATGTTGCTTGTGATTTGTTTCTTAAAAAAAATCATGCTGAGGCAGTGTTTCTGTGTTAACATTTATCAGGGTAGGGGGGATCGCTCCTTCCCATTTGGTTACTTTTTTCACTTTGCAGCTGCATTGAAATATTTAGGCAAGCAGAAGCTGATGAGAACAGGGAAAGACAAAAGGCAGCACATACTGTTTTAATTTCAAAATCAGTAGTAAGTTACTGAAGACTCAAGTTGTTGCCATATGTCTTTATTTTGTCATTCTCCTGGCATTTTTGCTCAAGTCTGAGTATTCTGAATGCCTGTAATAGGCATCTGTATCTTTTACCCTAACTGCATCTGGTGGGTTTCAAGTTAACTGCAGTGATACTAGTTTTTAAGAATGTTCTGTGCAGAGTTAGTGTATCACCTACTGCAACTATTTCTAAAAGGAAAGTACAAATGTAGTTTCAGTCAATAAAAGAAAATCTCAAGTTACTGCCATAGTAAATTATATAAAAGAGCATTTTTTTTCAGAGAGAAATGTTAAGAAGCAGCAATATATAAATCAGATAGGATTTCGTGGTCCCTAGCTGAGATTTTTAAATGGAAAAAATAGCATTAAGCAGATGCCAGCGGTGCACCACTCACTTCCATCAGCTGAAATTCTTCTCAGCTCTTCTCCTTTGATGTTGGTTTGAATATGCTTTTGAGTTTTGGAATCTTTGCTGGCCAAAATCTGACAACTTTCTATGTAAAGAGTCCTCGTCTTTGTGGGTTTTCCAGCTTTTGTTTTATCACTGGCTTATTTTTTGTCTCCCCTGCAGAGCCACCTCGGCCAATAGCACCCCCACAGCTGCTGGGCGTTGGGCCTACATACTTGCTCATTCAGTTGAATGCCAACTCCATCATCGGGGACGGACCCATTATCCTGAAAGAAGTGGAATACCGAATGACGTCTGGGACTTGGACCGAAACCCACGCTGTCAATGCACCAACATACAAGCTCTGGCACCTGGACCCTGACACTGAATATGAGATTCGAGTCCTGCTCACCAGACCAGGGGAAGGTGGGACTGGGCAGCCAGGACCACCGCTCATCACCAGGACCAAATGTGCTGGTGAGTGCTACTTTGAAAAAATGAACAAAACCTCAAAACTGTCTATTAATTGGTCTAATCCATTGGCAGGCTTGTTAGCTTCAATTAATTTGTAGCAGAACTTAAGGATTCCCTTCACACCCACAGGATCTCCAAGTTTCTGTGCCAATAAGGATTAGCTGCTTTTTTCAGTCATTTGTCTAGGTTGCTGTTTGCTAACCCTGGGAGGGCAGGTTAGGAGATGGGACTTTAGAAATCCAAGAAAGCATTTTGTTTCTCCTTGTGCAAGGAAGGAGATCTCGTGATTTCTGGAAAGTACAGACCACCTTGTTTTTTCACCTTTATATTTTCACTTACATTTTAAATAAACTTACACATAAGAGAACTTGCATGGTAAAAAAAAAATATGTTTAAGAAATAAAATTGTATTAAAAAATGTAGTGTACTTCTGCATAATTTGTCTTTTCCCAAGCAGTTACAAATGGCCTGCCAGAATCTCTAAGAACTAGAATAAAAATACTAAAATCTCTAGTCATGACTACTCCCAAAGGAAGTGGTCACAGCTCTCAGGCACATGGTGTCATTCTTGGGGCTGTCCTGTGCACGGCTGGGGGTTGGACTGAATGATTCTTGTGGGTCCCTTCCAACTCAAGATATTCTATTATCATCATTATCATCATCATCATGAAAAATGAAGATATTCTATTATACTCTAAATCATAAAATACAATTGCAAATATTAATAGAGTATTTTCTCCATTTTTGACTACCATCACCAAAATCATGTGCTCCTGAGCCCTGAAGTCTGCTTCTTGTTTCTTAGAGTGCCCCTGCGTGGCCAGCACCAAGAAGATTAAGCACAGCCAACTTGTGTTATATGCTGTTCCTTCTAAAGATACTTAAAGTTATTTTAATCTCAGCTTTCATAAGGAGAAAGATAATACCTATATCTCATAATTGTCGGGGAGAAAAATCAGGTTTGAATCTCAGACTGGGAGACAAATAAGCATAACTTAAATTGTGGGTTTTCTTTCCCCTTTCTCTCAGGACTTCTGGGGCCTGACAGTATTTTAAAGTTGCAACTATATTAGATTTAGCAAAGAGTGCGGAAAACCATCTATTCAAAATTGCATTAAAGTAATCAGAAGGAAAAGCTGCAGTTTCAGGTTTCTGTGCGTCAGGTATATGTGTGCAAATGTGAATAAGAAATATAAATGAAATAGTTTTTTCACAAGTTTGTGAAATATCTCAGTGGGACACCTCTTTCATGCATGACCACTCATTTTGTTTACATAAGAAAGAGTGTCAGGATCTAGATTAGAAGCCAGTTCAGCAGACTAGGTCAATAGGCATGAAACCCAGGAAATTAGACAGTCTTTTTGAAACTGGACATAGTACTGTCAGAAGCTAAGGCAAGCAACTGGAGACTAAACTGAAGCATCTTTTGGAGTTTGTGATCTTATTTATAATTTAGGCTGTCTTTCTAGTGAAGTAAAAAGCTCTGTGTGTCCATCTCAGTTAAGGTGACAGTTGCTGAGATCTGAGTAATGTTAAAGCATTGGTTAATTGCACTGAATTGGTTTAGACATTCTTCTGAAAATGTAGGAATTGGGAAACAGCCTCTGTTTTAAAGAGGCTGAGGAGAGGCTAACATATCCAAATGTTCAGGTTCTTTTCCTAGCACTTAAAAAATGTAATTTCGTTTACCCAGGTTGTGACAGACAAAAGCTTTTTAATAGGAAAGAAAAAGAAAGGAAGTAATTATTTATGTGACATACTTTCAGAAGCCAGTTAGGGGAAACAATGTTTTGGGTGTGATTATATTTTTAATTTATTTTTAGCATAATGCTCACAAATAAGGCTCCAAAATCTAGTCTGTCCTGACAAAATTTTTTAATTCAATATAATCCACTATGAAATGAAGCAGATAAAAAGATACTTGAGCAGAAAAATCTGAACCTGTGACAACATTAATAATAATGAAATTTCAAGCTGTTTACCTTGCAGTAAGACTGATTCTTCTTATTCTATCAAAGTGAAGGCAAATAAATGTTACTATTAGCTAATTGCATTTGGAAGACGGTGAGTCAGCAAGGGCTTGTGAAGACTGAAGGATTGTGCCCACCGTCAGGGATGAGTCAGGGGCAGAACTGGCTTGAACAGCAGGTCACCCTTCTGCCTCCTCACCTGTCTGGAAAATGAGACAGACCTTCCTTTTCTGCAGTGTTTTCCCAGGGCTTCTGATAGATAACTGCAAGCCCCAATCAGTATGATTTTTTTATTTTTATACATTTTGCTTGTTAAAGGGAAACTATAAACATAAAAATTAGTCTTTTCCAAAGAGAAGATTTATAAGAAAAGGTAAAGGTAATAATGGAATAGCTCACCCTGCAGTCTCTGCTGCTACCAGTATTGTACAAGTGACTGGCAGGTGATTTACTGTGCTATATTAGATGACATCTCTGCAGCAATATCTTCTTTCTGGAGATCCTTCAATTATTCCTAATTCTTGTTTCTGACAAGATCACTTTTTTCCAGACAGATACTCTCTTTTCTGTCAATGTTCTTTGTCAATTTTGTCTTTCCATTGGTTTTATACATATTAGTTCAAATTCTGAAACAAGTTATAATTGTTTATCTGCTCAGTGTCAGATGGAGTGGTGGGAAATAAATAAATTTTCAACATGAAGTTTTGACTGCTCTCTATACAGATTAAAAAGCATACATTAGTGAATGTTGATCTGATGAGACTGTAAATATTAAAGTTTACATTCGGAGTAGCAGCAAAAGCAAGCTCACTGAAAAAATAATCAGGATAGGTTAGTATTCTGCTCTCTGTTTGTTTAATACTTAAACAAATATTAACATTGTTTTCAAATGAAGATTAAAATATTTTTCTCCATAATTCATTCAGTATTTATAATTTCATTATATTTCTTAATAACATCTTATTGATCAGTTGACCTGTGCTTTGCAGGGGGTGTATCTTACTCCTTAGTGATTTGACTGATGATTGTACGTATCTCATTGCCATACATGCACATTATTATTAGGTATTTAGATAATTTTCGCTCTTCCTCATAGCAAAACTAGTGTCTGGTGACTCGTTTACTAAATGTTTCCGCTAATGCTAAACAAAATTGTTCTTTAATGAAGGGATAATTCTTCCACTAGTTAAGTCCTCTGACAGCCTGTTTGTCTACCTGGCATTTCCCAGGTAATCTTTCTTGCGCTGAAGCTGAGTGAATGCATTTTCCTAGATGTGTTGTTTTATCAGTCTGCAATTAAAGATAGTGCTGAGCAATCAAATATATGAAACCACTGAGTGTTTTTAAATGGCTGAAGTCTAAAACATGTGAAACAAAGCACTATTTTCTGACATTATCCTCCCTAGCAGCCAGGCCTATGCTTTGTGTTTTCCTTTTCTAAGCACCACTGATGATGGTACTGGGCACTGTGTTCCCAGCTGCTGATGCAGAAGGCTCCTGCCTCCCCATCAGTCCTCATGGGGCGCCTGAAATTTATTTCATTATGACTACACTTCCTGCCTGGTGTCATTGCTCACATTATTCACTTTTTAAGGATTTTAACATCAAAACAAAACGCAGAAGGGTAACACTTGAATCAGAAGTAATCCTTACGGCTGTTTTCTGTGGCTTTGGAGTGTGTCATCCTTCTGAGCGTATCCTCTGAGTTGTGATTGTCTTTCCTTGGGGAAGGTGTGTGTGTAGAAAATATGTGGTAATATAAAATTGTGCACTTAGCCTACTTCTTCAACTGTAAGCTAGAAGTTATTCTGTTACATTGGCTGCTGCTTCTGAGTAACAACTCACAGCTCAGTTTTATGATTAACTGATATTTTAGTAGCAAAGGAGGTCAATAGTTCAGCCTGTCCAGAGCTTAATATATGTATACAGTGCAATTGCTCGCTCTTATTTTACTGAAGTTCAGTGCAAAGGTGTGATTTTTCAGAAAAACATGAAGAATTGTAGAGGAATTGGAGAAAGAGTCCTTTGTGTTTTCATTTTTTTTTCCAAATGACTTGATTTTAGTAAACCGTTGCTTGTATGATTTGGTTTTGATAACAAAACGTTATCAAAACGTTGGGGGAGGGAAGCTTTATGGTTTTAGCAGGGATAGAAATGGAAAAATATATATCAATAAAATAATAATAATAATAATAATAATAATAATAACTGTTGTTATTATTATTATTTTTATTATTATTATTTCATTGTTCAAAATCATTATCCATCACAGAGACCTGCTATTGGTAACAGTCAGCCTCAAGGTACAATAGCGGAGATGCTGGTTCAGGGATGCAGCACTGGCATATGATTGCTGCAGTTGAAGTTTTGGGAACTTTACTCTCTGCTGCCTTTTTCAAGCACCGAATGTTTGTGTGCAGTTTCCTCATATATTAATTTTGAAAACAGTGTACACAGAATGCAGAATTCTGCTGAATTCTCCTCTAGCAAACAAAAAAACCAAAACATGGGGAAACGTTGAAAAACAAAAGCAAGCTTAAGGGCTTTTGTTCATTGTCTGGGGATTTATAAGAGAGGGACCACAGTGATTGAGAAAGTGACCTTGCAGGGCCATTTGGAGGACTGAAATATTGTCCTGGTTACGTAAAAATTGTAATTTATTTTGAAAATGAGTTCAGTGGAAGGGACATTGCAGTATAGAATCTGCATGTGCTGATGTGGGATTTGTGCAGTGCTACTTCAGTCGGTGTTGTTTGCCTTTTACACTTGCAGAGCGAAGGCAGAGTGTTCAGAGTACGGACCTGGATTTACGGGCTTTGTTGTGTGCTGTACATGAGAATTTAGGATGTTGGTATGTGAGGCAATGGTCTTGTAAAATTGGGTACAGTCAACATCACAGGAGGGTTCTGGAAAATATGGCGCTGAATGGATAAGCTGTGCTCTTCATTTGTGTCCCCTGCAGTAGAGCATCTTCAATTATTTAAATCTTTGAAAGCTAATAAAAATACAGAATTTTTAATTTACAGAATGTAA